TGACAAAGTCCGAGCGGTCTTCAGCTCGGAGTATACACTCAACACTACCGTTGTCCCTTCGCATAGTGCCCTATTGTACAACTTAACAAAGCATAAACTGGAAACAGTATTCGAATACCTCACGAAGTTCACTCTCATCACAGCAACACTGTTCATTATCATAAGTAGTATTAGAAAGTGTCTGGGAGGTCGAAACTCGCCGGAGGCTGCGCCTCTCCTGAAATAAATAAATGACGATCTTTTCATGAGCCCATTAGGGCCCACCGGAAGGCTTGGATCCGCCGTCTTCAGGTGTGTCAGCAGTCTTCGGTTTCGCACCTGGTATACTGAGTCCCCCAGCGAAGTCATACCAGACCAATCCCACCTCCCCCTTCATTGGAGTCTCCTTCCTTCTTGTCCACTGGAGCAGCCGTCTGGTCCGCAAAGGTGAGTATCTGAAATCTAGTGAACGACAACTCCTGAGTGAAACGATGATGCAACACCTCCTCAGCCTCTTCAGGGAATATGTCGTCAAGCATAAGGAAACCAGACGTGCGACTGCCATCCGATAACACAGGCAAATAACGAACCTAAACCCACAAAAACCATTAAACATGCAACGCAACGCTCCGCCTCCACCACTGGTGATACCTTCTGTTGCTCCTTCCTAGCACCTCTAGGTGGCATCATCTCTCCTGCTTGATAGAATCGAATGCTCGACTCTTGCGCTGGCACCACTCTAGAGGGGTTATACCTGACCAGAGAACCTCCTTTCATACAACGGCCGCAACGCCCTCGCCTTACAGTGTCTGCTCAGTAGTCTCACTAGTCTCAGCCTTGCTAGCCTCTTCAGTCTTCTTATCGACATCCATAGGGACCGCCCCGGACTCCTCAGACGCCTACTCCATATAATAAGAGTCTCTCTCCCCCTCCCCACCTGCCCACTACCGTATTAAGCCCCTCACCAGCTACACCAGAGTTCTCCGACGTCGGCTTGGCCACCACCGAGGTCGCCTGAATATGCAATATCCCATAAACCTTTCGCCTATCTCAATTACGATACTTCTATATATAAGGAGAGGCTCCTCTATAATCAGTGAGGTATACCCCTCTCACTCTGTGTGCGGTAGTTATAATAAGTTATCAATACTATAACTCTCCGTGTATAATATGACTATAAAGTATCCAGAAATAGCAAATGCTCTTAAGCCTCCAATTGCTACATACATACCCTTCACTCGACAAATCCTCAAACCTCAACGGTTCCGTCTACAGTGGGAAAACATATCATCGAGTTTCTCACAAAGTTGCCTCTCAATTTTCATACAACTACAGGTCATTATAATCCCCCCAGAAGAACCTACTTGTTTAGCCTTGCCCGCCCTAGTGGCCGTAGTCGGCTTCTTGCCAGCCTTATGAGCAGTAGATAACTTCACTGACACCGTTGACTTTTTAGTATCAACCTTGGCCTAAATCGAACCAACATGGACGGTCTTATGAAACAGTCAGGAGCTGTTACCGTAGGCTGAGTTGGCGAGGGGTACGCGAAGTGCGATGGCTTAGCGAGGCTCTGCACTGCAAACATCTTAGGCATCTTCATGTCCTCATTGAGACCAATAAGAGCCGTTGGGGAGAAGCTCAGACTTAGACATAGGATGAGAGGATACCAGTACCTGAGGATACCACTATCAGTTAAGTTCACCAAATGCAAGGTGAATGCGAATAGAATGTTCCCAGTAGAAACTTTCAAGGCTATCCTTAGCCATTGAGGACATTGAAAATCGAGTCCTTCTCCCAGTGAGCATATTTGGTATAGACATTCATGACAATTTAGGAATACTCCATCCCCTACATACCACATCTGGGCGAATAATGCGAAACCAACAGCAGCACCCATCCTCAGAGTCCCCGCTTTGCTGAAGAAGGATGCCGTCTCGTTACGGCCACCACAATCCATGATACCGAATGCCACGATGGCTCCAAATCTGACATACTTTGAATCATCCACAGAGCAACCTAAGATACCCCTCACCTCACAGATACGTCCTGATGTCTATCAGTTGCTATCTTCATAAGCTCAGCTCTAAATCTCGTCGCCACACCGTTGGCTTGAGCCGCACTAGTTTGCATACACAGGAAGCCCATGCCAATTACAGCCCCTTGACGAACAAAGTCCGTACGGTCCTTCAGAAGAGGCTCCAACTGAGAAGAAGGAAACTCGTGAAGATTAATATCCACAAACTGCATGAAGAGCTCCTCGGGAGTACCAGTTTAACAGCATCAGGATTGGAATCGGCCTGTCCGGCGCACGCAAAGCCGATTGCCAGACACACAGCATACCTAGGATGTGAGGAAGGAGTGGTATGGGCTAACACGACCAACATTTAGCCTACCGGACGTGGGGATTATAGCTCTCACTGAGCAGGCGCAGTACAGCAGGTAGCCTCTGCGGACTGTTACATAGGACGAAACCGAGGGATATAACAGCGGCTCGACGGACGTCATCCGAGACATCCGATACCGAGAAGTGCAGGAGCCGACGTATTGCCGCCGATCGGGATGTACCACAGTAACTGAGAGAACAAGCAGCTACTATACAAGACCGAGGCAGTTGATGACTATTACGCCAAGCCAGTCATGAACATAGCGCAGTAGCGGAGTATAGCATCTTGATCGTTGGCCATCTGCTCGATGACGGGCTCTGCCTCCTGCTCACGACGGAACTGTATTAACGCCAATGCCATACCACACGCTCGGATAATCTGAGATTAACTTCAAAGGAGCACCAAGGCAGAGCATCTCCCACCTTCTCATGACTCGTGTCCTTAGCATAGCTCAACAAGTCATTCACTGCCGTCTCATCACCCGAGCCCGTCATGACCAACCCCATGCCGTATCCAGCGGCCTCTCCTACCATGGGAAAAGCATCTCCAACTACCACCAACTACAATGAGCTCACCCGACACTGCACTATCTTGGAATAGCGTATTCTTGAGATCCTCGTAAACTACAGGGTCGGCACTCCCCATTGAAGTTAGTCCCAGGCCAAGGCAAGCCCCCACTTGGTGCACCTCGCTGCCCGAAAACTGACAACAACACACTCACATCCAAACAAGCAATTCAGTAGGCACATACCTGTTGCAACATTTCCCTGAGGTAGCTGACTATCTCCTCCGTATGATGATTGGCATGGATCAACCCAAGGGCGTACAGTCCACCACCCTCACTGTATGGGCTAGGGCTCTGCGCTCCTCCTCCTGCACCAGCACCGGCAGCAGCACCCTCACCTCCCGAGCCGGCACCAGTAGCAGCAGGGAGGTAGGTCGAAAGGATCGAGCGGGATTCGCGGAGATGTCCCTGAGAAACGGGAATATAAGACCTCCAGTATTGTCGAGGCACGTCTAACTAAGCTCGGATGGAGAATCATTCAACTACGCTATGATACTATCAAGAATGTACTCCTTCATTATTCCCATACCACACCTCCTCGAATGCCCCTCGAAACTATCAATGCTCCAGTATGAATATTATTGCTTGTATACTTTCCATGGAAGGATACTACACTACTAGGTATCACTCCAGCCGGCCTTTCCCACGACTATTCTATTCGATCAACACTCCTACTAGGCTTCTACTACCTTATGAATGACTCCAAGACTACCAGTAGCTGTGAACTTAGCCCAGTAGACTGCCTTGCCAAGCCACTCGAGGTTGGCACGGAGGAAAGTGTCGCTGGTGGTGCCGCATTGCATGAGGGCATGGCAGAGGACGATGCCGTTGTGGGTAATCTGATGGAAAAATACTCAACAAAGAATCGAACCGACATCCTAACGTAAAAAAGCCCAACCTCATTCCCTCGCCACCATAATACCAATCATTACCGAGTTCCTCTCATCAGGCTGGTTCGCCTTGATCGCGTCCAGTAGCAGCAAGTCCGTCGCAGAGTTACGATAGAGAAACTCGAGGTTCAAATCAGTCTGGGCATCGCCTACCAATCGAGCAATACCATAACTTCACCACATCACGTTCCCATCCCCCCAACGCACCAGCGAGAATCTTCTTTATGTTCGCAATGCACTCCTTCTTCTTATCACCAGCAGGGGCCTCAGCCTTCTCCATCTTCACATCTATCACAATCACCAATCACCTCAACCCTCGAGCCCCCCTCGAGCCCCCCTCGTGTCACCTCCCTCTGTCACCCCAGTGTCACCACCATCCGACAACTTGAGTCATCACATGCCGAGACCGTCTGACAGACTGCTGCGCTTCGCTGTCGGC